CGGAACGCGGCGGAACCGCGTTCCGGCACCTTTTTCCGGGCCGGCCGCACCGGAAATAGCCCCTCCCACACCGGAAATAGCCCCTCCCAAATTTTACTTGCATTCCTGTTCTCTAAAGGGGCGGTCCTAGGGTTTGATGAGGGCGTGGCCAGGTTTGAGTTCCGCCACCTTTTCTCCGAGAAAAAAAGCCCTGCTCTTTAAGACCTATTCCAAAGAAACCGCTGGGTCCAATAGTGGTAGAGTGGGAAGCACACTATGAGATAAAACAAATTCTTGATTCTAGGTTGTACAAGGGGAAGTTAAAATACTTTGAAAGGCTATCCATTATCAGAAGCTGTGTGGGTGAAATGTACAGATGTGAAAGCAGAAAGGTTAATACAGAAATTTTACAACAAGCATTGTCACAAGCCTCAAGGAAATACCTAACATGCTTTTTGTTTCCCCTACAGGAGAGTCTTTCCTTTTAAGGGGGGCCAACTGTCAACTCTACAATGAACCTGGCTGCAGCCATTTTTCTCCTCATTCTAGCTTGCCACATAGAATGGAGGGAGGGGGCTTGCCCAGGTGCTTTGCTAGTCAAATTAATCTTCTGTCCCATGGGAACCAAGGTCATCTACTGCTCCCACGATCAGGGACTAGGCGTTGTATAAGAAAGCCCGCCAAATGAATATATTGGGAAACATAGTGATGGCATAGTTTTGTGGGTGGGACATTATACTCTGTAACTGGGAGATTTTAGTGGGAATTTCAGACTTGGTTTCACTTTTGATCATGCCGATACTTTGTAACTAATAAATATGTTCTTTGAGGAATTTCCAGGCCTCGCAGTTCTGCTTTACTTTTTTTTTGTCTGTTAGAACCATGACAGTATTCTCTTACATATAGTGCAACTTCCCCACCTCTTTTTGTAGTTCTGTTTCTTTTCAACAATTTGTATCCATCTATCAGTCCATTCCAGTCATGGATTTCATCCCACCAGGTTTCTATAATGCCAACTATGTCATACCTACCCTCCTTCGTGTACTATTGCTTCTAGTTCACCCTGTTTTCCCCCCAAGCTTTGAGTATTAGTATATAAGCATTTAAGACTTTTATGCCTGTCCGTGGGTATGTTCCCTGGATCTCCTGATTGCTGTTTGAGTTTTATCTTTTTTTCTCATCACTTTCTACCTCATTGTTTGATTTGTTTTTTTTGGGATTTATGACTGGTTTTGTGTTCTAGAGATTCTAAAGATTGGTCACCCTTCCCCCTCAATTTTAGTTAAAGCTCTTCTAATGAGTTAGGCCATCTTTTTCCGAGTACACTTTTCCCTGTTTTCGTGAGGTGCAGCCCATCCCTTGCCAAGAGTCCTTCGCATAGAAAATGCAGTCCATGGTCCAGGAAACCAAAGTTTTCTTGGCGACACCAACTCTTTAGCCAGTGATTTATTTCTAGAATTCTTTTTTCCCTCAATGAGGGTTGGTCTTTCATTGGGAATACTGATAAGAACACTACTTGTGCTCCTAGCTCTTAACTTTATTGTCTAGTTGCTTATAATCTCTCAATATTGTACTCAGGTTCTTTGTTGTGTCATTCGTCCCAATGTGAAGGAGGAGGAAAGGGTAGTAATCTGTGGGTCTAATTATTTCGGTTAGGTTCTCGGCCACATCTTTGATTTTTGCTCCAGAGAGACAACATATCTCCCTGGATTGTATGTCCAGTCTGCAGATAGCTGATTCTGTTCCTTTGAGGATATAATCTCCTATTACCAACACTCGCCTTCCTTTTTTGGGGGGTGCAGTCTGGGGTGCTTTTCTGTTTATCTCAGGTGTGTTTGTTGATGTAACTCTTTTAGAGATATTTGGTGTTGTTTCTTTGCTAGGTGTCTGCAGGTTTTCTTTGAGGGGAGGTTGAGGGTCTGCGTATTTCCACCTAGGGGGAGAAATCGATTGCTCAGTTTTAATGGGCTGCTTCTGGTTGGGTTAGATTGACAGTAGGGGTTTGATAGATGCATGCTGATCCTTTCTTTGATTATTGTGTTTCCTTCTATTTGTGACATACCTCCATTTGTCCTCCTCCAAGGGTTTATCAATACGGTCAAATCCTCCGGGAGTTATTCATTCATTATTCGGTTCGATTTGGGTATAGCTTTCTTATGTAGGTTGGAGTTTGGCTAGAGTTGCCTCTAAGTCCCTTACTTTTTCCTCTAGTTTACATTTAATGCATGTATAATTTGGGTGTTCTTTGGGCATAAGCACATACATGGAACATGTACTGTATACCACAATAGTATCAGTTACCTGCTTCATGAGTTTATTGTTTGAAAATCCCTCTTTTTTGTTGGTGGATGTGCTTTGCTGTTAACCTTGTTTCTACCTTCTCTGCTCTAGGTAATTATGCCTATTTTTTTCTGTCCTATGTTTTGCAGATCACAATAGCATCAGTGTCTTTTTCCATGAGTCTGCTGTGTGGTTGCCATTCGTAGTCCCCGGTCTTCTGGTCTGCTGTCGTTCGCAGTCCCTGGTCTTCTGGTCTACTGCCGTTTGCAGTTCCTGGTCTTCTGGTCTGCTGCCGTTCACAGTCCCCAGTCTACTGGTGTGCTGCCCTTCGCAGTACCCGAACTACTGGTATGCAGTTCTTCGCAGTACGTGGTCTACTGGTCTGCCACCATTTGCATTACCCAGTCTACTGCCATTTGCACTACCCCGTCTACTGGTCTGCTATGCTGCAATGTTCCACAACCCCCACCGACAGCTCCACAGCCACATGGCTCTCATTTGCTAGTCTGTTGCACCGGTGTTCTGTTTCCTCCAGCAAACAGGGCTGTCTGGATGGTCCACAGTAAGCTCTCCTCTCCCTGGCTGTCTCTCCTCCTTGCTCCACTATATCACTGGCTCGCCTCTTTCTCCTCTCTGCCAGTCGTTGCGCTGCCCTCAGTCAGCTCTCCTCTCCACCCCACAGCTGATTCTCCTCTCTGGTCCACAGATCTTTCTTCTCCTTTTCTCTTCTCTAGTCTTTTTTATTTTTCTGACTTATCTTTCCCTCTCCACCTCTCCTCCTACTATTTTGTCTTAGTTTAAGATAACTTAATTTAACAATATAGGGGAGATGTGTTGTGTGAGCACACATGTGCACGCAATAACACACAGTATGTTCTATGTTATAATTTATTTTCCTATCTTGGGAAATTCTAGTTCTTATCATAAGTCCAGCAGACATGTTGCAAAAAAAAAAAAATCCCCCTTGAAATTCCATCACAATAAATTTGCCTGCCCAGGTTCAAATCTGCACTGGAACCACTGTGCAGATGGGATTAATATTTTAATGCTCATTTCCAAAAATGGACTCCCTCCCTGTGATCACTGTAGTCAGGAAAAATGCTTCACTGGTCCAATGGAAGCTTTCTACCTTTTTTTAACTGTTAAGTTAAATGGGGAAATGATTTTGCAAAAAAGAAAAGTGGTTGAAAAGAACGGATACCTTCTATGTATAGTCCTGAAAATTGCACTTTTTAATTAATATAATATATAGCTTGATTTTTAATTAATTTATGCTATTTGTATATGATGGTTCCACATAGACTCCCAGTGGTTTATATGGACACACATAAAACCGATTATCACTAAAAACACATCAAAGAATCCAGGCTACGAGTAAGCAACATTTACATTTAAATCTTTAATATAATTCATAGAATTATCTCTTTAAAACTGTGAGGCACTCCTTTTTGACTCTGAAACATTGTTAGGGAGGAGGTCATCCATATTTCTGGAGACACAGTATTCCACAGGGTGGGGAGTGTCTAAACAAGAAACTCTGTCTGCTTGCCCACCCATTTTTATGCATTTGTGAAGGGAATCTTAATATCTTGGCTCGAAATAAACACATTAGATGGGGCGGTTCTGTTCGAAGGACCCAGTCATAGAGTACTCAAAGCAGCATTTTGAGAGGTTCTTTAGTAGCCATGAAAATGCAAGAAATGGATGCTCTAAGGTTTTGCCTAAACAAAAAATGCCAGATACTATAAATGCAATAAATAAATAGTATATGTGGTCTGACACAGAACACAGTAAGCTGGATTCATCATAGTGGGGCTGATTTATATCAATGATTTATTCTGTGACCTAAGTGCAGTTTTTTTGTTTTTAGTTGCAAGAAGAACTTCAAAAGAAGTTGCTATGGATAAACAACATTCTATATTGCCTGAAGTCCAGATATGAAAATACGCAACTTTTGTAATAACTTGTTTTGATGCTGGAGTGCTACTAAGGAATTTATGAACAATGAGTTTATAGGAGGTTATAACACTGTGGCTCATGAGATAGTAACTTTTTCTTCTAGACAGTAACTTTCCTTTCTTCTGCAATAAACTGTAATATGGGAAAAAAAGAAATACTTCATAATAATTATTCCCTCTTTTCCTTTCCCCAAAATTCCAAGAAAAAATAATCACACCATCCAAATATAAATATGTCAACAGAGAAATATGAGGCAACTCACCATGATAGATCTTTCATAATAATCACTCTCTTTATCAACATCTACTGGATATCCATTTAAGAGCCAAATAAAAGTCAGGTCTAAAGAAGGATCATGGGATGCAAGACATTGCATGGTAGCATTCAATCCAACAATGACATCAACATTAGTTGGTGCTAATGTAATCCTTGTTGCAGCTTTGCAGTTAACAGAAAAAATTGTGGTTATATATTAGCAAATCATTAAATATACAACAATTGAGGCTCTGATCTACTTAAAATCTAAAAAATATACAACTTTACTATGGATGACTATATATTTAAATAGCAAAAGAGATATAAGTAAAAAGTTTTTAAAATTTGTGGTTGTTTTGGTAGGTCTTTCTTTTCATACTTTGCAAATTCTGGTAATTTTCATTTTCTGAACAAAGGTAGAAATTGTTTTTACTTAGCCGTTAAGGGATAATGTTTACAGTTCTAGGCCAATTTTAGGATCAAAAGTAAAAATTACTGTGACAACCTGTGTCAAAAAATTATTCATAAGAGAGCTATTTGGGGACCCCCCTCCAAATAATATACCTTATTTGTATCCTACTGATGAGAGAATGATCCAGCAGTGGGAGTATCATGTGAATTTACCATGCAATTATCAATTCCTTGTCAGGAATACTTTTAGAATAATGTTCCAGATCACAACTGAGACTAGTAGCAGCAAATACAAGCAGCAGATATTTAAAATTTTGCAAGAGGTTACTTCTAGAAATTTAATCTTCATTGGGACTTTAATAAAGTGTGGGGAAAAATTTGCATTTGTGTCAACAGAGGTAATATTTCTTCAATAAAAACGAAGGCTAGATTATATTCAAATCCTCCTCAAACCAAATTTGGTGGTGTGAAGTCATGTTAGTACCATGTAAACTTACTGCAGGGTACAAAAGTAAATCACAGGTTGAGTATCTGCATTGTAATTAGTATAACATGGAAGTTCAGAATTAAATGAATTTACCTAAAAATAACATACTCAAATTGCTACTTTTTGTATAAAATTCTATTCTTAGTAATATAAAGAATGTGCACAAAATACTCCAATATTATTTAAATAATAGTGCTATAAAGTAACAGTCACTAGTTAAATGATTAGGTGCCTATGATTTGAACTTAATCATGTTTAAAATTATGTGAATCAGCTCTAGCTTAAAGTTATATGAAATACTACTGTATAATGTTATGATATGTGTTACTCTGAGGAAATAATTATATCACTTCTATTTGACTAGTGCAAATTGTACTCCAATACAAATCATTTTTATTATGTATCTGACATAAAATATTCTTCCTCGCTCACTTATATATACAAATAAATATGTATGTACTTGATTTTAACTTTTAATATATGAGTAACTATGCATTTAATGAAGCAGCCTATAGCTCAAGAAAGCTTATGCTCTAATAAATGTGTCAATTGTCACAAGACTCTTTGCTGAATGTTTTAGATTGGGGTCCCCCAACCCCAGTGCTTTTTTTGTCATAGAATGCACGGAACAGCGTTCCGGCACCTTTTTTTGAACAGAAAACTGGCTCCTTCTAAGCTGCCAGTGCTAGTAAAGCTCTGGTTTGGTGAAAGGAAGCTGCCCGGGGAAATTGGGGGCATTGAAGATCAACCCGGAAACACTTCCACGACCCTGAAAGTAGACCCTCTTCTCTGCCTTGGTTCATGGGGCTCCCCCCACCGCCGCCGCCTGTCCTCACCCCTGTGTTGGCCACCAGGAACCTGGACTGACTCCTGGAGCGAATCTCTTCGAGGGACCAGGCGCGCTCCCAAAGCAGCAGTGCCGCTGCCGCCTTGGTCACTCTGGCTCCGGAGGAAGCCTCTGTGTCATCAGAGGCGGAGGAGGATGAGGTGGCAGAAGACATGCCAGCTCCGAACCAATGCCCTCTCAAAAGCCGCGGCAATGGTGTCCGTCAGCTGATGCTGCTCACGTGATCTGCACCTCGGAAGCTCCCTAAAGTGGTTCCCCTCGCTCCGTAAAGGGCTTTCGACTGGAGCCAGAGCTATTGTGAGTTCTGGCACTTTTTTTTTTTTTTTACAAAAAAGCACTGCCCAACCCCCAGGCCACGGCCCACTACCAGGCTGTAGACTATTCAGAATTAGGCTATTCAGAGTGCTGGCCAGAGCGTGCATGAATGCGCAGCTCAACTTGCAGAGCAGTGGGCCAGGGGGTACTTGCTCACATGCACGCCAGCCCATCACTCACACAAGTCAAGCTGCTCACCTATGCATTGGCCTGCCACTCACGCAAGGGCTGCATCCACGTGTGTACACACCAGCCCACCACTCACACAGCCCTGGTCTGCTCTCCCCCCACAGACAGGCCACCAAGCCACAAAGATTGTGGACCACTGCTTTAGATAATACAGCTACTCTTCTGTAAAGTGTAAGCTCAGTGACCCACATACAAAAAGTCAGTAATCAGAATCGGAGACAAGATATAAGAAATATATATTATTTTGTTATATACAATGACTAAATTAATAGGCTTATCAAACTAACCCAGATTTATTTAGAACATTGAAAAGGATTTCAACATACGTAATCTGAAGTCCATGCTATACTTAACTTTGAGAATGTAGAGAAGTTTGAGAATTACCTGTGACTATAAGAGCAGAAGAACTGTTAGCTTTCCCTTTGTTGTTTTCCACAAAGCAGGTGTAATTGCCTCCATCTGCTGCTGTAACATTAATAATTTCTAGGCTGCCATCATACCATATATGTATCCTATTAAAAAAGAAATTGTTAAAAAAATTGAGAATCAACAATAGAATAATAAGAAAATGTGGATGAAAATGGAAGCATGGCATTATACATTCCACATTTTTTTCTCTCCTGCCAGTTATACATAGTCTTTTCATACCTATAATAATCATTGCCATTTGTTCACTTTGTGCTGCTTAACTCCAGGAAAGGGGGAGAGTTACCCAATTGCCCATGCAAAACAAACGTATCTTCCAATATTACACGGCAGTTGAATGGGGGCAAAAAGTTGGCACTTTTTATCTAGGCAACTATCTAGCTTATGCTGAACTACTGTTACTGGAGAAAAAAAAACATTTTCTAGGAACCAGATGACACCAGTAGGACACAGAAGGGTTTGCTTTGTTTTAATCCCAGTACACAGAGAGACACAGTGTATGTGGGGAGGTGTGTGAAAAAGCTGCAGCTACTTTAAAGGTTGTTGTTGGAATATTCATGAGCAGGAAGAGTCATGTGGTAACTCAGTCAGCCAATGTGAAGAAAGTGCTACTGAGTCTGTGCAAAAAGGGTATTGAGTTAGGAGCTGGATTCTTCCAGTCTCTGGTTTTGTCTCTGTATCTCTCTGTAAGAAGTCTTCATTGTGCTATGATGCTGTAAAGAAGAATGTATGGTATTGTAAATATTTTGATATTAATATAAAGAAGTTATTTGAATCAGCTAAAATGCAGTCAACTGTGAGAGCTTCTGATTTATTTTTTCACCAACAGAGAAATTAAAATTCTCTAACAGGTTATGGGCCCAGAACTTACTAAGGACTGCATTGTAAGTTAAAGCTGGAAGAAATTGCCTGTGTTTAGAAAAGTATAAGAACAAGGCAGAATTAGCAGAAAGGCTGCAATGGAATTTAAGGAAAGCTCTGTGCCTCGTTTAGGGCAAAAGAATTACATTATCTGGGCAGCAAAAATGGAATGTTTGCTGAAAGCAAAAGACCTGTGCTATATTGTAGAAAATCCCCCACAAGTATTTGCAGCTACTGATAAGAAAAGCCATGATCAAGCCATGGCTTATCTCATCTTGAATTTAGATGATGAACAGTTTCTAAATGTTGCAAATCTAAAGACTGCAAAGGAAATTTGGATGAAGTTGAGAGCTGTGCACATGAATGTTTCTGCATGCAATATAGTGCAATTGTCAAGAAAACTTTACAGAGCCTGTTTGCAACCAGGTGAATCTGTGGAACAGCATTTAAATAAAATGCAAAGTTTATTTTTGGACTTAGAACAACTTGGGATTAAATTCCCTGAATCACAGAAGGTTTTATTGGTGTTGAACAGTTTAGATAAAACCTGGGACACAGTTTCTGCTATATTTGAGTGCAAAGAAGAGAAAGACTTAAATTTTGAGGCTTTAAAGGCATGTTTGCTTAATGAAGAAGAAAAGCACAATTTCAGGAGTAGCCATGAGGAGGAGAAATTCCTGAGGAGGGGGTCCAGACTGCAAGTCTCCGGAGGAGAAGGAACAAGCAGCAGATGGGACCAAATTGCAACAAAAGAGAGATTTTGCAGACAGAGAGTTTTGCAAGAAAAGAATTGCTACATATGTGGAGCGAGGACACATCTGAAAAGGAACTGTTTGCAGAGGAACAATTTGCAGCAAAAGACATTTATGCATGCAAAGAAGACTAATTTGCAAAAGGAACGTTTTGGTGTTGCAAAAGTTTGCAATAGCAACAACAGAGACAAGTGGCTAATAGATAGTGGGGCAAGTCAAACAATTGTTAATGACTCTGAATTATTTTGCAGGTTTGTTCCAGTAGTACAAGAAGCTGTAGCTTTGGCAAATGGCCAGAAAGCAAAAGTCATCGGAAGAGGCGATGTAAAAATTCCATATTTGGAATCAAAGTTTACCAATGTGCTTTGTGTACCTGAAATGGAACATAATTTGTTAAGTGTGTCTAATTTAGACAAACAAGGTTTTGAGACTATTTTTGTAAATGGGAAGTGTCTCATCAAAAGGAATGGGAATATTTGTGCAGAAGGCATGAAGGAAGATAATCTATATGTATTGCAGGGACAAAAGGTTCAATGTTCCCATATATTTAAGAATGTTGCAGAGCATGATTCATGCGTTCATCTTCTACATAGAAGACTTGGCCATGCAAGCTTTAAAGTTTTGCAGCAAATGCAAGAGTTTACAGAAGGGCTAAATTTGAAGGGATGCAAAACATATTTGGACTGTGCAGTATGCAAAGCATCGAAGTCAAAGGCATTCCCAGTTAGTAAATATAGCACAAGACAAACAAAAAGAGCTCTAGAACTGGTCCATGCAGATCTGGTGGGACCTATGCAAGCCAGTTTGGGAGGAGCAAAATATGCACTGGTAATTGTTGATGA